GTCAGAAAGTTATTGCCGACCTCAATTTTTCTAATACCGAGGGTTATATTTGTATATATATATATATATATATATATATATATATATATATATATATATATATATATATATATATATATATATATATATATATATATATATATATATATATATATATATATATATAAATCGATTGCTGACAATAGTAGTAATATTTAGTTGCGAAAAGCTGGCCAGATTTTTTAGTTTTAGATTTTTTGATGTTTCAGAGAACCTGATGAACATGGCTAGCATTGCTCGTCAGGGATGCATCCTTGCTATCTTTATCATCGCCTGTAGTTTAAAGTTTTAAAGTTTGTTATATTTTTATTTTTTTCTAATTGATGTTTACCGTTTCTGACAATTACATATAATTTTCATTTCAGTAGTTTCTGCATTTACTTTGGAAGACTTTCAATCTGTGAATGTAAGGTCATTTATTGTCTGCTTGAACTGATCACAATTTAGGAGCTACCTTATGTCAAATGGAATTTAGAGTTTTATAATTAAAGTAGTTTTAGATTTTTTTTTATCACTTTTTATTCAGCAGGTTTACATGAAATAGAAACCATTGAAAACAAATTAAAAAACTGTATCCTTTTTTATTTTTTACCTTTTTTTCTAAAAATTGAAAACTTACGCTAAATGATGGGATCCTAAACTTTATGTGGCATTGTTTTTTGAGTGCCATACAGGTATATGTACCACAAAAACAACCGTACCGCAAAAACAACAATGTTGGCTTAAGTGACCTAGCATATAGAAAAAGATTAAGGACTCAAAAAACTTAATATATTATGATAGCTAATATGTCAGCCAAATTAAATCAGTTTTATTTGGTTTTTTTATTTGTTAAATACTTTGATATTTGCACTAGAATTAAAGTTTCAATTATAAAAATGCGTAGTTTTTTTGTTTTGTTTTGTAGGAGCCTTAAAGCCATATCAGAGTATAAATTAGCAAAATAAAGTTTATCTATTATCTATGGACTATAATTAGATACTGAAAAAAGTTTTTTTTTCTTAAGTAGTTATATATCTTTATAACACCCTCATTAAGAAAGGAAGTATTATTGTTGTTTTTGGTGTACGTTTTTAGAACTCACTTTATAGAGCATGTTTTGAAATAAGAAACAACAACTATAAATTTCCATTATATTTGATTTTTTAAAAAGAAAATAACATATATCTATTTTAAAAACAATATTTGAACTCTGCAGTAATAACACAGACATCTAAAATTGCTGCAGACTTGTAAACATTATCAAAGGTTATGACAGCAATGTTAAGATAACATAGATAAATAAAATAGTACTTTAACTGATTACTTTAATTCAAAAAAAAATTATTGATTGTTGTTGCATTTGTTATAATGGTCTTATATCAGTCTTTTAGATGTGGAGAAGTGATGGGTTGCTGGTAAAAGCATAACCGGTCTAACTCCATCAACTCTGCAACTCAATTTACTGCAATTTGAATGGAGAACATCAAGACAATTGGGACAATGCTTTAGGCCAAATGCTTGACATTTCCTTTGTTTGCAAAAACATTCAGCTTTTCATTTAATAAATTTTTCTTTAGCTTCTTCTTTCTTTTTTTTGGCTTCTTTCTTTGCTGTTATCTTTGTCGTTTCTCTTTTTTTATATCTTTTGCTTTTGCTGCAACATCTTTTGTTCGCATTGAACCATAGACCTGAGTAACACAAGTAGATATTTTTTCAAGGTTTGGTTTGATTTTCTTAATAGTTAGCAGATCAGAAATATTTTCTAATTTGAGGCTTTTCTAAGCAATTTCTCTAATCAAGATTTGAGACCAGTCAAACTTACCTTTCCAGTAACTTGCCGAACCTTTCCTTTTAGAAACTGGTTACGAAAAGGGTTTTTGAAAGAAGTTGAGGCTGGTTCTTCTTTATGAATGCATGCAGCAGCTCACTCAAATTTGTCTTGTTACATAAAGTTAACATTTAATTCAAAAGGCGTTATTCCAACTCTTTTTGCACTAGAAACAAGAACCGGTTTTGATGCCCATATCTCCCATATACTGCCTAGATAGTCATATATCCCTCTCTATTAATTGATTGCATTGGGTGAAAAGATAATTCTAAACTATTTTGTACTCACGATAAAGATTTTTATTAACCTGGTCAACCAACTGAGTTATGCCAGTAGTTTCGGGAAAAGAAATAAATAATCAAATTTGTTTTGAAAGGAGGTGTATTAAACCATTTTAACTAAATCATTAACTATGTCCAGCAGATAATAAAACAACAGGTCATTCTATTGCCTTTTCAATATACTGAGAAGGCAATAGAACCTTACTGGTAAGGTAATCATCAAATTCTTGGCACTGCTTTTTCTAATTGTAAATTCTTTGCATCTGTGAACTTTCTCCCAATTAATGCCTCAAGCTTACTTTTTTTATGAATAGATTGTAATTTTTCCTGTCTGAGCTGAATTTTAGGCTTCATTTTTTTCTAACTCTATTTGATTAAAAAACTTATCGTTAAACATTTTAGAGTACATTATTCGCTTACAGAACATATCTAAATACTAAAAAACTACTTTCAAGTAAAAATTTAGATTTTGCTCTAGGTTCAAACACAAAGTAAGTTTTAATAAATTCTTGCAATTATTATGTTCTAAAAATCTTATTGATTTTTGATACGTAAAAAACACAAAGCAAACTTTGTTTCAAACACTGCAATGACATCTTTAGAATCAAGAGGTTACATAGAATCAATATAGTAAAAAGCGAGAACACATGTATAGCCTATAAAATGTTATTTTAAAAACATCAATGTTGTTTTTGGGTACCTATCTTGTGGTTTTTGTGGTGCATCGGGTATTTTTTCCAAGATTAAGTCAGCAGTAACTGGTTTTATTTAAAGCAGATCAAATAATATTAGGACATCTTCATAGGTTCACTAGCTGCAAAGATTCAATCAATAAATTGAATGCGGTTTTTTAGGGTACACATACAAAAAACTATAAAAATTCAGTTAACAAAAACATAAAAACTATTTCTTAAAAATTAATCAAATTAGCTGGGAAGAACTAATTTTAAGCAACTCTAAACACTTTCAAAACAATTTTTCTCATAAGCATATAATAAAAAAAGTTATTGAGATGTGCTTTTTTTTGTGTTTCTGCAGTCCTTGCCATATTTATATAATAACTTCTGCGGTACGTGCCATATTTATATAATAATTCTGGGGTACATGCCATATTTATATAATAAAATTTAAAAGCAAATTTTAATTAATTATTGGATTCAAGTTTTTTTTTTTAGTTTTTTTTATTTAAAATGAATGCAGTAGGGGTTATTTATAAATATTTCTTTCTAAAAATGAGTGCAAAATATTTTCTTCATGATACAAAACACATTCATTTTGTATTTTTACAATCTAAATATATTCTTTAAAATTCTTATTACAATTGTATTCAGCAACCATAGCAACCTTAGCTCTTAACTTTTCACTGTGATAGATATTTTTATTGGACACAAAAACCTGTTCTGTGTCTTTTTTAAAGATTTTAATGGATTACTACAGATGTTTGTACTGATGTAACAGCAAAGTAAGGTCTTCTGCCTATCAAGATCCTTGATATAAAACTTGATTATGTGAAACTTTCATCCAAGTAAAATCTTCTATCCCAAGTGAAATCTTTTTTCGAATACATCATGTACATCTATTTTTAAGTGATGCATGGACAGAGTAAGCTAATTTATTTCCTCTGTGTAGGATCTATCAAGTTTCATCTCAAAACAGCATTCAGCAACTAAATCAAACAAAAGTTAACCAAGTAATAACTTGCTAAAATAGTAGTATTAACATATTCTTGTCTCTTAATCAAATGTAGACTGGTAGTCTGGTCAATTTAAAAAAAAGTTTTTTTTTTCAAGAATTATGTCTAAAGATTTTAAAACTTTGGCTTTGTTAGGTCTGTCAAAACCACCACCATTAAAGCCATGTCTGTTAACAGTTTTTTTTTATTTTCTTAAAACTTGTTTATTATTTTATTGTGAAAGAAAAGAGATCAATAATTTTACATGATGTTCATAAATATGGTATTCAAATGGTGAATTTATGTTGATAATTTCTGCAGTCGGTTTTATATATAGCAGGCATTGTAATTGTTTGATTGTAACATTTGACTCATAACATTTGATTAGTAAAATTTCAATAATATTGAATTTGTAAAGGATGTTTATTATCAAGTCTTTAAATTAAACTGCTAGTGATCCAAAAGTCATTTAATCTCCTCTTTATTCATCGGCCCATCAAATTGGTAGCACAAGTATTTTCCATCATACCTTTTATTAAATTTTTTTTTTTTGATTTTGCATTGCTCATCAAATTAAGATTAAAGAACAGACAATTGATGCATTTTATTGAGACTAATTTTTATGTTTACAACTTAAAAAATAAGTTCAGGACCCCCTTGATTTTTGAATGTTTTAAATTTTTAGAAAAAAGATCAAAACAAAAAGAAAGGTTTAGTTTTTATATTTGTTTTTAATAATTTCATGAAAACCTGCTGAAAAGTGTGGTTAAAAAAAGTTTCAAAGTCTGATGTAAGATTAAAAAGAGCAGTGATTATTTATTATTATTGGGTAGGTATATATTTATATGGGTAGGTATATATTATATTATTGGGTAGGTATTATTTTATTAGTTTGAAAAGTATAGGTTATATTAATACCCTATATTTTTTCAATGTAATAAAATAATACTAGGTTATAAAAAAATTTCTCACTAAAAAATATTTTCAGAGGTAGCACCAGACCCTTCAACTTCAGACATTTCTTAATTAAATAAATCACAGCAAGTTATGTGAAATGTTGAGTAATACTTAAGTGAATGTATTCATGATGTAGGCAAACAGTTGTATATGTATTTATTTTAATCCCAGAACAACTAATTGTATATAAATAAGTCTTCAACATTATTTATGTTTTAAACTTTCTTGTTATTTAATACTTTTAATTTTTTCTTATCATTTATATTGTTATTATTCAGTTCTGAAAAAAACAGAATAACTTAAAAATTATAATTATTAAAAAATTTGTAGTTATACTTTAGCTTCTTCTCCTTCAGACTCTCTCCTTCTGCTATCAATCATCATTAACTTTGCATAAAATTAATCGACATATTCTAAAGTTAGTTTAATCTTTAAAATCATTCACAATGCTGTCCAGACTTTAAGCTGCCGAGGAGTTATAGTGAATAATAACTATTTTTATAGCGACAGAAGAAAGAATGATTCAACTTATTGCAGTTAACAATGAGGAATGATGAGGATCTCGAACATTAACCTGTTTATTTTAAATAACAGGAAGAGTGTGATCAATAAATTTTGGAAATAAAGTTTTGCATCACAAACAGAAGATTCAGAGTTCTAACCATTAGGGTTACATATTTTCTATTTTTCACTATTTTCATTATATGTCACTTATTAGACTATTATCCAATTGTGTGTAAAAATTTAAAAAGTGAAAATTTTGTCGCTGAATTATTAAATTACTTAAAAATAAACTTAGCGAACAGAATGTTGTGAATAATTACTAGATTTTAAAAAAAATAGTCGAAAAAAACCACATTTCATAAGTCACACAAATGAGCAAAAAAGTTTTGTTGCAATTTAAAACAAAGCACTTTTAGTTTTTTGGCTAGCGCTTTTTTATGTGCTCGTTAAAATTTTTGTGGGCATGTGGGCAAGCACAGAAGAAGACTGAACATTGTATATATTATTTAAAGCATTATTGTTTTGAATAGTAAATAACCTTTAGTTCAATAAATTTATTGATGTTCATCAGGGTATGATGATAAGATTTGAATTTATAAATTTTCTTGACAATGGCAACATTTCTTGACAAAATTATTTAGATGAATTTTTTTTATAACTTTATTTTTAATTACTATTATTAAAAATCAAATTAATAAAAATGATTTTTGTTACTTACTCACTAGAATTTTTATGTTAAGAAATTTTAGTACTTTACTTTTACATTATTCTTTGATCCTATTGTTTTTAAAAGGCATCAAACTTTAAAAAAAAAAAAGGTTAACATTTTTAACTTGTTTAACTTGAGCCTTTAATAAGTTTCAAATAAAAATAATTCTTTATTAATAATTTTAACCAAAGTGTCCTTAGGCTCCTTAAGTTAATATGAAATTTTATGTCAAATACATAATAGCTATTTTATGTTTATATAAAGTTAGTACATTATAGCTGTTTTATGTTTATATAAAGTTATAGTAATAATGAATGTCATTGTCAATTTTATGAATGTCAGCAAAATCATGATAATGGTTTTACTAAACATTGTTTTATTTTATTTAGATATGTCAAGAGTGTCTGCTGAACTAAAACAATATTATCTTAAATATTATGGAAAAATTATTGAACTTCAACCACTATTAAAAGCACCTGCAAATGTTGATCTTATGGATAAGTTTGTTGATCTATGTATTGTTGATGCAGCGAAGCCACAAATGAATGGTGTTTTTAGTGTTGAACGAAAGGAATTTCTTGAAAAGCAAATGCATTATACACCAATTCCATATAGTGAACTCTTTCTGAACGAAAAATCTGTAATATTAGTATCTGGAATTGCTGGTATTGGGAAAACATGGTTTTGCTTGATTGGTCAAATGATTTAATTTGGAAAAATGTTGAACTTGTTTTTTATTTGGAATGCAGGAGGATTAATCAATATGAAAATGTTTCTAATATTAATGATTTACTTAGCGTTTTCTTCAAAGATATTATAAGTAATTTTAATATTAGTATTGACACTGCACTGTTTATAATTGATGGATTAGATGAGTTTAAATATTTTAATGAGTTATCAAATCCGAGATTAAAATGTAACTATCCGATTGTTAATGTTTTAGAAGAAATTCAAAATTATAAGCATTTAGTTACTGGCAGAGTTTACGCAATTGATCAATACCAAAGTATATATACAGATCAGAGTGATAAGTTAACCATTCAAATAATGGGGTTTAATGAAAATGGAATAATGAATTATGTAGAAAATCATGTTATGGAAGAAAATAAAGAAATTGTAAAAGGAACTTTAAAGGAATCTCCGATAGCAAAAGCTATGGCATCTGTTCCTTTTTATTTATCTTCCATGTGTAAAATTATCAGTGATTCGAAAGAAATAAGTACAAGATCTTTCTTAACAATGACAGATTTGTATGCAAATATTTTTTTATATTTTTTAAGAAGACACATCATCAAAAACAATGAAATGATTTATCAGATAATGGAAAACGATTCTAATAAAACATATATTTTAAATATTTGTAAAATTGCATATGAATTGTTTGTTGTAAATAAAGTAATTTTTTCCAAAAAAGAACTTCAAACTTTTATTGGTGACTTTGATAAAAATGAAAATTTTTATGGATTTATAGAAAGAATTGAAACAGATCTGGGTTGTTATTATCAGTTTGCTCATTTGACAATAATGGAGTTTTGTGCATCTGTTTATGCGTACAATTGTTTAAATAGTGAAGAAATTATGACCAATGAAAAGCTAAAGAGTTGTTTATCAATGATTTGTGGATTATCTAATACTAGTCAAAATAGTTTAATAAAGTTTCTTGTTAACCTGAATCCTTCAAAAAATTCTTCTAATCCTTCAAAAAATTCCTATAAAAAATCTGTTCAATTTATAAAGAATCTATTCAAGAATTCTTCAAAAAAGTCTGATGAAAAATCTATCCTTTTGTATTCTATTTTGGGTAAGTTCAAAATCTTTGTGGCATTATTGTGAGTTATTTTCGATAACCATGCAGGTGTTCAATAAAGTATAAAATATATTGTTTTTTTTCACTTTATTTTTAATTAAATTAGGAATTTCTTTAAATTAATTAAACCTTTTTTAATAAACAGTAATAAAGATTTGTTTGTTTAAATTTGAAAGATTTTTTTAAATTTTATCATTTGACTTGATTTTAAAAAAATAAAAAAGAAATGGTTTATATCTTTTGTTTTTTAAATGATATACTTTGCATTTTTATATTTGGTATGTTTAACAACGTTTGGCAAGTTTTTAAAAAAAATTTAAATATTTCTATTAAGTTGTGGTGTATTAAATTATTGTTCTGATGGAATACCCTGAGAAATGTCCTTTTGGGATAACACATAGGGATTCTGCATCAAAAAGATACCTTGGTTTACACACAGAGTGTCCAGTGTTATATAAGAATACAAAAATACGACAGTTATATATATGTCAGTCTTGATCAGAAGTAAATATATTTATATGTGACCATTATTTTTTAAAAAAAGTCGAAATTTTTTTTTTGAAATCACTCATGATTACACATCTTAAACATCTTTTGAACTTTCATATTTTTTCTAAATAAAACATATTGTAAAACATGAACACCTCTAACATAGATATATAAAGAATTGTGCAAACAATTTATGCATTTTTTAATTAAGTTTTGTTACCTAAATAAAAATTGGTATTTCAAAAACCAAACCATCTATATTTGAAGCAAATATGATTAAACTAACTCGTAAAAAATTTGAGTACCATTGAATCACTCATTCAAATGACATCAAATGACATATTTGAAACAAAAAAACGGACCTTAAAATGACTAAAAACTGCTTAGTTTAGAGCAAGACTAACATTAATATTTTTTATATTTTTTTATAAAATTTCCCTTATAAAAATATTGTAGTTTACATTTAAATAATCTTTGATTTCTTTTATTCTTTACTAAATTTTTTTATCAGTTATATCAATTGTTTATCAAGGTTAAGATGTCCTTGTGTTGGGCGTTGAGGTTAAGAGTCACCTTGTGGTATACATCGTTTCTTGTAAAACAATTTCATAAATATTCTTTACTTTGTTTAGGATAAATTAAATTAGGTAGCCTAATATTTGAACTAAAATTGAGGTCTGTCTTTAGCAATCAGCTGTTTCAATAGTAGTTAAAACAGCATCAAATTCATTCAAATTTGAAGTCTGCACTGTAAAATGAAATTTTAAAAATATTTGATGCGGTTCAGTCACATCATAAAGTTCAAGTTGTATTAAGAAATCTATAGAAAACGGCATTTGTTTCCAGTCTACTTAAACTCTTAAAAGGTTTAGAGTAAAAATAACAATACTCTTGTTTTACCTTTGTTTATTTTAATGTCGTTGAAAATACGTTTTCAATTTTAGTAACTAATTGTTTTTTATTATAAATATGTGTTTTTATATTAAATAAAAAACTATCAATCGCATATATATTTGGAAAAAAAATCGCTCAAGTAATACGTTTGTTTTTATTAATTTTAAACAAATGCCAATGTTTGCATAAGCAAAATTAAAGAAACGTGACGTTCGTTTTTCTTTCTGTTTTTTTTTTTCAACAAACGTTTGCATGTTTACAAGAACATACACTTAACTGTTTACAAGAACATACACAAGTGTCATTTATTGCAGCATGAAAAAATTCTTTAAACGAGCGTTGTTTACTACATATGAAAACTGTTTTATATAATTTTTTTGTAATAGAATGCAGGCATTTTAAGAATTATTACAACAAATCAAAATTCTACAATAAAAGTGAATAATATATCAAAGTAATTGATATATAAAATATAATTAATTACATAAAATAAAAATTATTATTCAACAATTTAGTGTAATACTTTGTAACAATTTAGTGTAATAATTTTTTTAACAGTTAAATAATTTTATATTCGCCGATATAATTAAAAGTGTAGCAAATTTTTGTTGAGTTCAATCTTATCAAAAACATTTACATTTAAATCGACGCTATTTTTAATTTTTAATTTTTTTTAGTGGAACGACCGTGTCTTTTAAAAAGCAGTTGATAAAAAAATACAGTAAAGGTGGATCCATGGTAAAAAAACTAAAATCTTTAATACTCTTGATTTCAATTTTTTTTAAGTTGAAATATGAACAAAAACATATTATGAAAAAGAAAATTTCTTCAAAAAATAAAAAAAGCTATTTTAAAATGCTGAGTCAGCATAAAAATACACAAAAAGTGAGTTATGCAAAACAGCTATTACTTATAAACTACTCATGCAATCAAGCTAAAAGTTTTACAAATTGGAGAAACACATAGATTAAGTGCCTGAACTAGGATTTTTTTATATTTTTATGTACTTTCAAAATGGCTGCTATATTAGTGAATATTCCAAATATTTGACAAAAACTCGATAGGGAAGTACAAATTTGTCACTAAAAAAAATAATTCTGTTGAAGATCTTAGTTCAGGCACTACTTTAAAGTATAATAAACAACTCCTGAAAATTTGAATATTTAACTATATGCAGATCCAGAGCAATAGTTGCTCTAAGATTACTACATTCAAAAATATAAAAAATGCAGAAAAATGCAAAAGAAATTTAGTATTTAATAATTTCCTGCAGAATATGACTCTAAATCTTCAGTTTCTTTTTCGTTGTCTATGAAACCTTTTCTACGAGCTCTTAATTTTTTCCTCTGTGTTATTTGACGTGTCTGACTTTTTTTGTTCATGTTTTTTACCCTTGAATGGTCTACATCGTGAGCTCCTATAACGCTATATTTTCCAAACAAAATGTTAAGATGTTTAAATAACTTTTCATATCCTAACAATCCATCATTGTACGTTAAAACAGCTGATGCTACACAAATTTCTAATGTTTGTTTTGAAACAAAATCGCTCTTTAGGCATTTTTTCCATATGATTTGGTTAAAAGCTTCATTAGGATTTTGGGTTGTACCATCTAAGCATTTAAACATCAAACCATCTGCACTGAGATCAATAAAAATAGGTTGCACTATCTTTTGTATAAAAAGAGGCAAACTAGTACAGGGTTTATATGTTTTTTTACCAGTAATTAGATCCCTCTGCCATTTGCACCAACTACTTAAACTGCGGGGACAAAATTGATGCCTTTCAACACTGTTAGGAATGCCGCTGCAATGCCACAAAACCGCTAACACAAATTTTTCATAGCATATAACGAGCCAATATTTTGTCGAATAGCGATTCCATAGTAATTTTGCATCTTGTTTATTATTTTATCAGTTAATCGTCCTTTCGTAGTCTTGTCCCCATTCTTTTTTGGACATGGCCCACACACTCAAGCTTAATTGGAATCAATTGTTCCCCATAGGGTTTGGCCTCCAAAACATTCAAAAATGAATCAGTATCCCCGTCACCAATATAATGTGAGTATCTCAAATTATATTTTTGTACTGACGAACAAAATATGGCAACTGATCCCGCAGCCTCCATTGCACCAGAAGATTTACGATGATTGTTTTGGCAAACATGGTTGGTTTTCCAAATTTCAAAATCTATTGAACCCTTTTTGTTTTCCCATACTGTACAGCTTTTACAAAACTTAGACATGACATGATAGTCCAAAACCTTTTTGTTAAATCGTGAGATTCCGGAAACAACTCCATTAAGTGAGCTGTGTCCTCTCTTTTGCCATGTACCATCTATGCTAATTTGGCAGTCAGTCAAAGTTTGATTTTTTTTTGAAAATTGGGTATGTATTTCGTTAGCAGCATTTTCCATACTAAAAATTGCACTTTCTGTATAAGCCTTGTGAAGATTTACATTTATTGCATCATATGAATTACTAGTCATCGTTGTGGCATGTTCATCATAGTTGTAAATACCTTCATAGCTTTATGTCTCTTACCTATTTCTCGGAATGCAATTACTGCTCTATAATTTATATCATGCTTTTTTTTACCTCTTTTATCTATATTTATTTCAGGTGATGAATTAAAACTATATTTCCAATCACAAGAAGTACACAAAATACAAATTTTATTTGAAAATCCTTTATGCTCTTCTGGTAATAAACACACATTTACTTGTTGATTGCATATTGGACATATAGCAAACATATTTATAATGCCACTAATAACTGAAAAGTTCATAAGTATATAGCAGTCGTCATTTTCAAGAGTTTTTACTTCAGAAAGTTTAAGTTTCTTAGAGCTTGTAGATGATGTGACCGTATCGATATTATTTACAACATGGTTTTCTGGAAGTGAGGAAGTACAAGTGTGTCGATTGCCACAATATAAACGTTTAATTTTTCTTCTTATTTTATTTCTCTTGTTAGCCATTTAAAGCTGTTCAACAAACAAAATATCTTCAGACAGGTTTTTAAATATGCTAATTTAATAGTTTTGAAAAACTAACTCAATAACTCAAATATAACTCACTCACAAGATTTAATAGTTATAGTAATTTACGAATAAAACAAATGAAATACAAATAACAGAATAGTTAAAAGCATAGTAGATATATTTTAAGTAGCACAGACTTTAATTTTTTTTATTTTGTAGAAGATAAAAGATAAAAATTGACAAGCTGTTTTGGTTGCTATGCGCGTTGCTATGAATAGCAATTGAGATAAGATGTCAAATCTATTACTTTTAATAGTGTTTTAATGTATATAATGTATAAAAAACCACTTTCCTCTTAAAGATAGGTAGTTTATCTAATAAAAACAATTTTAAAAAAAAATTCATTTTTTTTGCATTTTTTTACCATGGATCCACCTTAAATATAATTTTTTTTTTTTTTTTTTTTTTTTTTGATGAGTTAGTGTTTTCAATTTTAGTTACAATGATACGGGGCTGTAGGAACAAAAATTATATAACAATTGTAAAAAGTAGGTTGTATGTAAAATTATAGTAAGGTTTTTTCAATTTTAATCTTTTCATTTTAAGAACCACCTACCACTATCGTGCATTTAGAAATCAGTTGCGATGGTTACAAAATCATATTATAAACGAAGTGTTTGTTTTCAATTTTTACTATTTTTTTCGAATTTATTAAAAGAATTTTTGAAGTTCGATGATCGAGTTTTAAATTTATAAAACTCACTTTTCAATTTATTTTCTTAAAATGCTTTACGGTATTATTTTGTTATCATTGTTTATTATATCATTGTTTATTAAAATTCACACTGGTAACAAAACTTTTTAAATTTTGTAAGTATACTTCAGTTTTATAATCAATTTTTTCTTTTCATTTAAAAAGTTTATGTTATGGAACTAAAGTCGAATTGTTTTGAGGCAATACGACGACAATGACCTCTTGAATATAATTATGACAACAATTTTTTTTTCTTTTTTGTTTATTTTGTTGATATATTCAGTGCATTTTTTTAAACAAAAAAAATGCAAGAAAAGATGCTAAGAATATTTAAATTTAATATTTTTGATAATAATTTGATTTCAAGGTATAAGCTGATTCTATTCTAAGACTGTAATTTCAAGCGACTTTAATTTTAATCGTTTCATTCAATTTAATAAACATGTAAAATATTCCTACAATATAGTTCAATAATTTGTAAATGACAGTTCGTCCAAGTTTTAATACTCCTGTGACAATAATTAACTTATTTTAAAAAAGATTGTCGAAAAAGATCTTCGATGTAAATTCTAAATTTGAACAAGTTCTGTAGGAATTCGGTTTATAAATACATTAAGTTCTTTACAAATTTGCATATAAATAAAACAGGTTTTCCTTTTTATCTTCTTATATAAAAAAAAATGATAATATTTGTTTCGAATGACAATATGAATAAATAAAGCATTTTTTCTAAGTTAAACATATTTTTAATCTGTTTTATGTTATTTTAAGTAAAAAATATATTTTATATATATATATATTATTGTTTATTTAAAATTATAAACACAACATTTATAATAAAATTTATTAATATAAAAATTATGTTCAAAATAATAAAATTAGTATATTTTTTACAATTTTTATTAAGAAGTTATTTTGTTTAAAAGTTTTATTAAGTTTTATATATAATTTCATTTATTGTTAATGTGGTTATGTTTATTATATTATAATTTAAATATAATATATTTATTAATAATATGAAAATGTATTCAATTTTTTATTTAATTATAGTGTATTAATTATATTTGTATATAGAAAAATAATATTATTATATGTATAATATCACAATTTTGATTATTATTTTATTTTTTGTTTCTTATTTATTTGTTTATTGTTATATTTCACATTTAATTTTTCTCTAGATTGTCTATCTAAAAGTATTAAAGTTTCTTCTTATTCTGATGATTTCAATTTATTCTACGAATGTTTTTACGAAAGTCAATCGTCATTCACTGATGAAATAAACTCAATTGTTGATGAACTAAATAAACATGGTTTAGAAATTATGATTGACGATGGAAAAACTTCTTACGCAACTTCTTGCGATAATTATTTCGTAAATTATTACATAAAGTCTGGAAGAAAGTTAAAGTGGTTACGTGTTGCTAAAAATATTTTAAGTGATGAAGAAAAAAATCTTTTAGTTAGATGTTCAACTAATGTTCGTTATGTCGGCTTTTATCGTCCAATTAATTTCGAAGGATGGAAACCGAAAGATAAGATTGAAGTGTTGACGATATGGATCTCAACAAAAATAACAAAAAAAGATTTTGAAGAAAATTTTCTTCTTTGGATTAATCTTTGTGAAAAATTATATCTTGTTCTTCACGACGACATTGATTTCTTTAAAGACATTTGTGAATGGATCCGTTGTTCGAACATCAAGAATTTTGAGATCGAGTACCGTGGAAAAGAATTTTGTAACCTCGATGAATTAACTTTATAACGCGGAAAAATGTTTAATATTTTAGATATGTAAAATAAAAGCAATAACTTTAAAATAATAAATAAAATATTTAATTTATTTTTAATAAATAATGAAAATAATAAAAATAAAAAAATTATTTAATTTATATATTTAAAAATATATATGCTTTAAATATTCGAAATAATTTTAATATATTTGATTTAAATGAAAAAGTTATATATAGATTATATATAAAAAGTTATATATTAATTATATGAGAATATCATTCATATTTATAATTAATTCTTTTTAAAATAAATTAATTAAAGTTACATAAACTATTAAATATATAACTATATTTGTGGTACATAGTTTTTCAATTATTATTTTTTTAACATTTTTAATAATAGTAATAACATTAAACTATAAATAATAATAATTGATATTAATCTTTGTTTAAATATATAATTTTTTTTATAAACTTTTTTTTTATATTTTCATAATTATATCATGAATTTTGATCATTTTGATTATAATATTAATATATTTTTTCTTTTGTTACTATAAATATTAAAATATAATTAATATCAAAAAGTGTTAATTATATAAAATTTTAAAATTAGATTAAATATACTTTTACGGTAATTACCTTTTTTCTTATTAAATTAATAATAAATATTTTTTGACAATATTTTTTCTTTTTTTACTGCAATATTTCTTTATTATATTCAACCTTCGTTATTATACATGATGGTTACGATAAACTCATGAGTTTTCAGGTTTATTGAAAGTTGATGAAATTTAATTTTATATTTAAAAAAATAAAATTATATTCTGCACATAATCACATTTATGCTAATATCAATTTTTTTTAAAGTTTAAAGTATTCGCCATTTTTTTTTTTAAGATTTTCGTTGACAACGAAACAAAAAAATTTTTGTTCGAAAGTTAAATTCATATAACTTTTGCTTAATAGTAAATCAGACATTAAGTTTTATTTCGATTAAACTTTTTTTATATATTAATTAATTTTTACTTAAAAAATAAAAATTTTAAAGTTTCTTATATTTATTTATATATATTAAAATGTTAAAAGTCATGTAGGCAGAACACATCGGTTTTTTGCAAATGTAAAAATGCCAGAGCATTAAATAAGTTTAGGACAGTTGACAATTTCGCCCAAAGATAATAAACTTATAAATAATTTTAAGATTGATATATTTGATAATAACTTTAAGTAATAATTTAAGTATATAAAAATGTCGGTACTTTTGCACTAAAATTGATGCGGATATTCTAACTTTTTTTACTGATAGTTTTTTTTTTAATGTTGATTTAGGTGCCCCAAGAAGTCCTTACAGTCTTATCACAGAGCACCGCGGAAGAGCATTTAATAGGAAGTTCACGCCTCCTTCCCAACCGATGTCGCAAAACTTACCCAGAGGTGTGTTTGAACCACGGATCTTACGTTTCTGAGGCAAGTGCACTACCACTGCGCCACGGCTGCTAAAGTATATAGTTCCGCTGGTTTTAGATTTACTTATATTGCTAAAACTAATTCGAATATTAAAACCAGCAATATCGGCAGTATAAGAAAAGAGCAAAATCGCCTCAATTTTGCTGCAGGGGTACTGTCATTTTTCATTACTTAAATAGTCTTTAAGCAGTGGCTTAAAAAATATGCCTTCCCTTAAAATTTTAATTCTAAATTTTTTCTCTCTCCCCTCCCCCTCAAAACAAAAAAAAATTATACATGAAAACAAAATGCATTATTTTTAAATACAATTTTGATTGAAGTTAATTGAAACAAGTATGTTACATATTGTATACCTAAGAATTTCTAATTCTTAGATATACAATAAAAGTAAAAATGTTATTAAATGTATTTGAAAAATTTGGCTTAGGCCCTTAATAGGTCTGGGCCCTCCTACGGCTGCGGGCCCATCGGTACGTTTCTGTCTTTAAGATACAAAAATTATTTCCGATATTCTTGGAAACCACAAATCTCTTTATCGTGCTTGCCACTTTCTTATTTAGGAATCTATTCTTTATCTCAATAAATCTCAATGCCCTTTTTCTTTTAGGTAAGGTGCACAAACGCATTGTAAACATAGTCGGACCCGCTCTTGCAGCAAATTTTTGTATTAAATGTAAGTAGTTTTAAAAAATCTATTTAAGTCTTTACTCTAAAATTAAATTTTTTTAAATTTCTTTACAGAGAGCTCTCCTAATTTAAATTTTAATTGTTGACACGGGGGAGTGGGGAGGTCAATTAAAGTTGACATCAACAATTTTTTTTTTTTTTTTTAAGTTTCATTGCTTTAATAACGAAAAATTAGGCTAAGTTTGTAGCGTAGTTACTTTGTATAGGAGGGGGGAAGATTCAAAATTTGACATAATATTATATTACATTAAGAGTTTTGTGCAAAGACAAAGTTCAGCAGTTTGTCTAAAGGATGTTTTAGTAAATTGCAAGAAAAGCATTCTGTTCAAGTTTCAGCATTTAAACTCCTGTTGATGTTTTTACATGCACGCAAATACTCTGGATTTTAAAAGACTGGTTTGTTTACGCTCAACAAGATGGAAATCGAGTGACAATAAAAATAAAGCTAATCAAGCTAGGAAACAACGTAATCTTGACGTAAATTTGACCTTGATGATGAGCAGCAAATAAATCTTTTAACAACACCATCTCTAACAACAACAGCTGTAGCAAACTAAGTCAAGTATAAAAGTGTTCTAATGTTTTTAGAAAAGTTTAAGCAAGTCAAAAAAGTGAATGATATCAAACCGAAATTTCCAAATGCAAGGTTTGGCTTTGTCATACATCTATTCCCAAAAAATGTATAAAAACACTGAGTTTTATTGCATTAAAAAGTGCCGCGCAAGTGACAACTCAACTCAACCTCCAAAACCTCTTAAAGATTTAACATCATCACATAAATAAAATTATTTTTTTATTTTTTTTTTTAAATTGTATTGTTGGTTAATTTTTAATTAACATAAATGGTTGTATTTTTTAAATTAAGTATTTTTTTGATAACCCATTTATTTGCACATTTCATTCCTCCCAAATAGGAGTGTATATTGAAATATGCAGCCGTAGAATAGAATGAAAAAGGAGGAGTCGAAGTGCAGTGGTTAGTACGCTAGCCTCAAAAATAGAGATCCGTTATTTAACGCCACCTCTAGGTAAGTTTTATAGCATCGATAAGAAAAGAAGCGTTCTTTCGAATGCTTTTCTTTGATAAGACCTAAAGATTTAATGGGCACCTAAATAAAAAAAAATAAATTTTTTTTCAAATAAATGAAGTTTCTTAAAAAACTTTTTTGAAAATATATTTGATTTTTATATATAAATACAATTCAAACGTCTTTACAACTTAAAAAAAAAAAAAATTGAAATCTTTTTACCTTGATAAATAAAAACTTATTTGACCCGCATTAACTACTGATTGGAAAAAAAACAGCAATTTCAAACTTACTTGGCAAATTGTGTGAGAAATCATGGTAAACTAAAAATAAATCAGGCGCACTTATTTTGGTAACTTTAAGTTAATCAGACAGAAAATCTTCTCAGATTAACTTAAAGTTACCAAAATAACGACGAGATTTAAAAGAGAGGGAAAAAATGGTGTAAACAACTATTGCCCGACATCTGTTTTTTCTATAAAACTAAACACGTTCAAGCAAAAAAAGAATTGTTGCATGGTTTAAAATCCCACACCATTCTCTTGCGTTATAACCCTATAGTTTATTCAGTTTACAATCATTTTAGATTTGATCTTGTTACTTTTGAGAAATTGAATTTTAATGTTTTCGTTTTTTTCACACTTTATAATAAGTTATCGAGGCAAGCGAGGCACTTATATATATATTTTTATGATTTTCTATCTAGTTTCATAATTATTGTTAATTACTTAGTTTTATTGCAAATATAACTTTAATGCTTAAAAATAGTTTTTCATAGGGCTACCACCTTAAGAGACCATAGGTTTTTAAAGAGACATTTTAAAGAGAAAATTCATTCTCAATATTCACTGTAAAAAAACGCGTTTCAACTGTTAAGAAATTTAAAAAGGCGGAAAACTTTACAATAGCTGGTAAATAGGAAATATATTTTCGAAACGCGTAACAGTACAATTTACAAAACTTTTAACAACAAAATAAAAAATTTGGAGAAGAAATTGAGTTCAATAAACAATAAAAATAAGGCTCTGGAAACTAGAAATTTTCGAATTCAAAAAAAAGTCTAGATTAAATAAGCAATAAATATGATAAAGTTTTAGTTGACCTTTTGCGAAGCAAAGCCTGGACACAAAAATCGAAACAACTTGACAGAAAAGATATAAAATATTTTATATGACCCTCATGTGGCCGTAGTGCTTACAAGTGGAATAAAAGTGTAAAACTATATTCAATTTGATGATTGGTATATTTGCTGATAATTAATATGGCACACATAATAATTCCACTTAGTGTGGTGTAATCCTTAAATAAATACGTGCTAATTTGTAACCTCCATTTATTGCAATGCATAGTAGTAAACTCTAAAATATTCCATGTTATTATGTGGTTTTAATAGTTTTCTATTCATAGTTGAAAATATGTTTAAGCAAATATAATTGAGAATTGCTATTCAAATAAACTTTTAATAAAATTTGTAAATCAGAGTTATATTTAACGAATAAAATTTTGTTGTTATACTTAACGAGTTATACTTAAGTTATACTTATCCTAAACAGAGTTATACTTAACGAAATAAAACTGTAATCAGAGTTATTCTAAACGAAGATAAAAAATATTTTAATACGTCGTGTGGTTAAAACTAAATTCTAGTGAGTAAATCAAGGTTTCGAGTTTTTTATAAAATCCTAACGAGAATATTATAAGTGCTTAAATATTGAATTTGTTTTTAATAGTGATAAGTTATAACAAATTTTGCTATTATATATTAAAAACAATTATTTAATATAATAAACATAATAAATTATTTATCTATCGAAAACTATTATAGGAAAACGAGTATAAATGGTTTAAATAAATTTAAATAACTCAGGTTTTGATTTTACAAAAAACGCAAAACCTGTATTGGCTCATTAGAAAAA